CTCCATAAACAGTTTCCGGTCTTTGGAACAGGTACTTGTGGGTGCCATTTGGAAATTGTCCTTCTGTGACGTAGGCGTCCGAGACGGTGAGCTGTCCCGATGAATAAACATTTTTCGTTTATAGTCCATTAATTGTCTTTCTTTTTTTAATTACTCACCGCTCCATTTGAAACATTAGGATAAATGAAGGAGATTTTTTCAAAACCGTAACATTCGATTTCCAGGGCGTCACCCTCGTTTTTGATTAATTCAGGGGCTTTCGTTATTTCCTCTATATCTATCGCTGTCGATTCTAATAACCCTGAAACAAATATTATTAGAATAGAACAATCTTTCTAGATTAAAATGAGGAAAGATTCAGCTGAATTAGATAAATTGCTGCTGAGATAAAAATTCTTAAGTATGATTTTTGTGAAATTGACTCGTATGTTTTTAATAAAGTTTATGTCCGAGTTACTATCTGACCAGAGCAAGGTTCATACTGTACATGTTGATCAGCTGAAACCTTGATGACATATTTGGCCTTATTCATAGCATTCCGTCATGCATAAAGATGCAATGTCTATTCGGAAACCGGTTATCTTAGGCAACCGCAATTTTTGTATTATTTGTTTAATTTTCAATATTTCTCTCAATATCAAACAAATATCTTCTGAGAAGATACGTTCATGCGATATAATTCTGCGTAAAAAACGCAGAGGAAATTAATTGACAAATATTTTAGCCACAATGTCCTGCGGATGATCGGTTTTATCCAATTCCTCCAGTTACTGTTCCTCGTAAAAATACACACGCACACGTGTGCCAGTTCGTTTCTGCGCAAATACAACCGTCTCTAGGAAGGAAGTCCTTTCTTTCCTCTTCTGATAGTGCAGTCGCATTATCAGCAACAAGCCCGTTTCACGAGAGAAACAAGTGAATGAATCCGGGGAACGAGTTGCCTAAAGTTTCTTAGTAAATACAACTTATTTATTCACGAAAAACGAGTCACGATATATTCTTCTAAATATAAAGAAAGGATCTTTTAAATTGAATGATAAATGAGTGGAGACAGACGCATGTGATATGGCAGGCATTAATTATAATTATTTAGAGTGCGATTGCTTCATTTTCTAATTTAATATAATTTAGTATGATTTTTTAACGAAGCAGTTTTATATATCAGAGGAGTAATATAAAATTTAGAAAATGAAAAATTAAATTAATATTGGGTCTCTCTCCGTGGTCCGTCTTCCGAGGATTGATGACCACTTGATTCGACAAATTGCAAAATTCCAAAGGCTGTATTTTTTAAAGAAACTTCAAACTGTCAGCATGATGACTTAAAACCTTCTTAATTTTATGTACATTACGTTATATGCATTTGCAAGAAAATTTCTGTCACCGACTTGGTATGAAATCACCCGAACTTAAATTAATTATTCTTTTCAATCTGCTGATCGTGTTAATTTAAAGAAAATATTCAAAGTATTGTCATATAAATCATATGTGTATTTTCTTTATAAACATTAGATATGTTTTACAAATGTTGCACATATGTATATAATCGTGAGACTTGTTGCTATGTATTGGGAATTTGCGATAACAACTTCCCAACCTACTAATGATAAAGGATAAAGAAAAACGTATGGTCACTCATAGATTAGCATAGTTGTTCCTCCCTATCACATGGACCCACAGATACTGATACTAAAATAAACCAAAATTAAGGTTTAATTTAATATTCTCCATTATTTTGAAAATAACAATATTTCATTATAACAATAATAACAATAAAAATGACAGAATGGATTGTTTGATCAGAATTATTTATAATTCAAAGAAAACTCTATTTTTTGCATATTTACTCTTAATATTGATCTTAAATTTGCGTAAGAAAATTTTACTTATCTACGATTTTATCGTCGAATAATGTGTGTTCAGTGTATCAGGATAGGTTTCTGTGTCAGTTAAACGTAACTCGAATCGAGTAATGCCATCATCGATCAATTGTAACCCGTCACTTCGTGAGAATATTATTTAAGCCTTCTTTTCTTTTTATTACCGAGAGGTATAGTTAGTATCGTATCCAATACGTAATATCGTACTTACTAACAAGTTTGTCGATTCTTATTAAAAGAACATGCACAACACGAGTCAATTGAGTTTCGTAATTGGTACACTGCTGGGTGATAATCAATGGCCATAAACATCTAAACGGTAAAAATGGGTTATTTGTACGTTAACGTAATCTAGGAAATAGGTCATCGACATGTTATCTTCTAACCGGTGTATAATTGTTTCATTACCATGAGCCTCATTTTTCAAAGGAAGGTTTTTAAACAGATACGAAATAGTTTCATTTAAATGTTAATTAAAATTTAATGATTTTCCAGTGTTGTATGTTATCACCAATATTTTTAGAACGTTTAATTTTTTATTAATTCTTGAAATGACAAAGTCTGTATAAAAGAATTTAGGAATCAAAAAACTGACAAAACTGCACGAAATATATGGAAAATAAAAAAATTGATTAAACTTGGAAATGACGAAATTTATGAAATCAGAGGAATAAAAATAGACCGATTCCTTGAATTATAAAATCTTTACAAGAACATAAAATAGGAGAAAAAATTTCAAAAGAATAAAAAACACCAAATTTCGAAACCATAAGGTGCATCAGAATGAAATGACCGGTGAAACAGGTAAAGCGATTGAAATCGCCGGCATGGCATACGATACGTAAGTCAGAAAACCTGTTTTTCCATTCCTCTAAGTAAGAATGACTCAATGATGGCCACGTGATCGTGACGCCTGGCTGAAACAGCAGGTATTCATGGACGGGAATGTAGGTGACAGGTAAACGTCGAATGACAATTACCTTTATGAAACAACAGGAGGATCCCAATGAATATTCTTCTCCACAGGTGCACCATTTTTATCAATTTCTAACTTCTTCCTCTCTTCACTTTTTCACATTTTCAATAATAAAAAAAAAAAAAAAGAAGGAGAAATAAATGTCGAGGGACCTTAGTCACTGCATAACGACGATCGCCACTCTGTTGAACGCGCACTTTCTCACTGAAACACGAACGGGTTACATGGCCACGATTCCACGAGAAGACCCCACCCTAAACGATTCTTCGTTCTCTGACTACGAGTTATCGGTAACGACGTCATCTTGCCAGCGTTCTCCATCGTTCCATCCATGCTCGAATTTAATCGTACAGTCTGTCTCAGAACACCGTACAGGTTGTATCATCGTTATCTTTTACAAGAAAAATTATAAGACGGTGGCAGTGAGTTGATAAGCGGCGATATTTAGGATGTTGATCGATACGCAATCCGGGAAATCTGTTGGAAGAAACTTCTTCAGTTATGTGTTTAACTTATGCAACTCTGCGATGTGATGATTGTAACTCGAGTGGAGTGTAATATTATTTCAAATTAGTTAATAATATTCTTTTTTTTTTTAGTTTTTGATAGGTATATGAATTAGAAATTGAAGTATTTTAATAATAGGAGAACAGGTGTTAGATGAATTATTGCAATATTCTATCAGTGATTTATATGCAATAATTAAAAACAGAGCATGTTCCAACAAGTGCTCTTCATTCTTCCTGTTCTATTTAAGAAACGATCAACACGGATGTTAACCCGAATAGATTTCTAAACAAATATCATAAAACAACAAATATCGTCGTGATAATAAAATAAATCTATCACTCCAAAGCACTTAGAATTAAAATAAACTTACTATTTTTGGAGCATGATATATTTCCTTTACAAATTTTCACTGGGGTCTGCTTCGAAACGTGGTTTCTACTTGTTTCTTGCCAATAGCTACTACATGATTCATTAAGCTCATATTACAGTCTATTTAGAGGTCGACTACTGTGACTTTCGAATTAGCACGATTTAGGTATGAATGAATTGTGATTGTACGTTCGTCGATAAAAGAGAGAGATATTTCATTGGATTATTTAGTGTTTGGATAATGATAAATATTATTCTTGATTGATGGTATTTTTTTGTCTACTGCAATTTGCATATGTCATATATAACTTAAACATTCAGGTGCAATGAAATGATTTTTAATTAATCTATAATGAAAATAGTGGAAGGTTACAGCTAGCAAGGTAAGAAAAGAAAACACGTATAAATAACATTGTAAAAACTAATTTATTATAAAAGAAACAACAAGTTTTTCTTACTTTACAGTGTGTATAAAATATTATTTATATATACATAAACCTTATATAAAAATATTCTATTTAAGAATCATAATATAAAAGGTATTGTTTGATGAGGTCAAGCTTAACTTATAAAATAATCAAATTGTTGAATTTCTAAGTTTGAAATAATACAAATAGTATACAGAACATTATTTACCTATAATAGTCTTAATCATTTCGAGTAATAATCTAATTATGGATATATTAACCCTCGGACGGGTTAATATATTAATTTTCTAAATTTTACACTGTTCTCTTAAAAATTATTCTTTCGTTTAAAGTGATACAATTAACTTTACGTTAATATCCTTGTACACATTTTAGCCAGTTACCTACATAGTCATTTTTAATAAATTGTAAACTTCAGCAGTCATTGGTCTCATAAAACGCGTTATCGTCAGTGTTAATACTTCAATCTTGGGTCTAACGTTCCCTCTAATTTTTTTTCACCTGCACGGATCTATGATTGTCATAAGCGAAGAATTTTGAATAGCGCGCGAAGAGAGTATTGCGAGCGCGGGAACAATTAGATACTGTGCACAGTCGCAGCGCGCAGCTCGGCGGGAACATTGGTCGTAAGCAATGTTTTCTCTAACTTTTTTCTTTATGACACTATTACATATCAAATGCCATTGATTTTTCAAATGACAGAATATTTATTATGCGCGGGAACACTTCATGTTGTGCTCAGTTTGGAGGGAATATTCGAAAAATGATGTTTCTTGTCTATGAATAAAAATAGAAGAAATACTTTTCTTCGTAACTAGTCACGATTTAAATAAAACGTTAAGATGCAGTGTTTTGACTAGGGATGGTACTGGATATTCGTTCACTAATATCTACATTTATGGTACAGGAACTATCATCAATAATATCATCACTATTATTTTGTGTTTGTCTATCGTTTGATCTATCATCTCTTAGTTGATGAGATTGTGAAGAACTTTCTTGATCGTGGGTGATGAATCTCTTCAGATCGATCGATGACGAATCTGGAACAATTTCTTTCTTTTCCAACTTCCTATTTATAGATTGTCCTTGTTTCTTAACCGATAGATCGGAGGACGAATCTTCTATGAATTTTTCTTTGGAACAGCATTGCGAGGAACTGCAGTGCTCACCGTGGCAGCGAATCAAACAACCAGTTCTTCCCATGTTTGGTTTCATCTGTATTTTTACACGTGTATTAATTAACGATCAGAAGATCTATCTTAATTAATAAAACAAATTACGTACCTTATAGAACTCTGGTTGTATAGTAACTTGAGTTATACCCATTTCTATAAAAAAGGCAGTCACTTGATCGGTAATACTGGCATAAACCTACAACAGAAAATCTATTAATCACTTGAATGCAATTAATGGAATGGAAACTCACCATTGGATCCAAGAATATAATATGAACCGTAGATATTATTTTCTGTCCTGTTAATTGCCATACATGCAGATCATGAACGTTCACGATGCCAGGAAAAGCTTCCAGTAATTCCCTTTTAAGGGAATCGATATTTATGTGATTCGGTATCGTTTGAAGCAATATTAAACCAGATTCTTTCACTATTAAAATAGAATTAAATGAATAATTTTGTTCTCAGTGGAAATTGAAGTGTTTGTAATTTTCGGAATTGATACTTACTGTATGGATAACTAAGGACGAAAAGGGAAATTGATGAAATAATGGCAAATAGAGGATCGATGTACTTGGCCACATCCGAGTCAGTGAAATATACTAAAATGGACACCAGGATTACGAAAATGCAGCCAAGAACGTCACGAGAGGTTTCGCGAAAACTTTGACTCTTTGGTATTCCCAGTGGACTCCTTCTGGTCTGCGACGATAACTGCTGTTCACCTTCCTTTGTTTGCTGTGAACTAACATTTCTGGGAACAGATAATGCAAATCTTAGATATGGAAGCTTTTTATCAGTAGAAGAATCAAGGTTCTAGTCAAAGATTAATAATTCTGCATAAATGAAAACTATTATTAATAAAAAAGAATCAAAATATGCATAAAATATGCAGTTGTAACAGTAATGAAATATTTCGAAATTTTTTGAAAATTTAGTTGATTACCTTCGAAATATCACGTCCCCGTTCATGGTGACATGCAAAACGATGCCCTGATTAAAAGTGTATCCTCCGATCAGTATGACACAGAATGCATTTAAGAGAATACCGGATGCACCGATCGCTAAAACAGGCATCGGATGATGCATTTCGTCCAGATGATCAATGTGCACCAGAGTCTGCAAAGCTTCGACCAGTAATGAAAAACAAAATGACGCCAGTAAAACGCAGCAGGCCAGCATTGTAACAATGTCTATCCTGGCCCATCCAAAAGTGTTCTTCATTCTTCTGTCTGATCTTGATTGCTAATAAATAAAAATTATTTTTCTTATAATTTTATTTCAGTATGCTGCTTTCTGGTTGGAATTTTTACTAGCTTTGTGATGTAGTGTTTGGAAATACTATTTTTAAGGAGCCTGTTTATTTTTCATTTCTGAAAAGCAGAACCGTCGAAGACACAAAGCAGATGCATGGGAAACACCTCGGAAGCTAAGGACCAGAAAAAAAGATACGTAAGTGCAGTATATTCTTACCTTGGTCTTTGTTGACAAAGATGTCGAGGAACCTCGTTCTTCGCCATTTATACAAATTGCGGAATTTCGTAGGGAACTGGAGGTACTGTTTCCGCTGTAACTGCTACCGCTTTGACGACGGCAATACTGCAAGAAAATAGACAATAATGATATATTATTGAGATTAAAATTGGGGCTCTCTCCATGGTCCGCCGTCCGAGGGCTAAGGTATTCCAATGTTTTACAATATTTCTATATAATAATTACTTGAAAATTTATATAATCTTAATTACTTTAATTACTTTGACTTGGAAATTATACAAATTTTCTGTGATGAAAGGGTAAACTATCCAAAGAAGGGTTGAAAATGTTAGTCCCATCACTGTTTACCATATAATGGTGACACTTACCTTGATGGACGCGATGCACCCAACAAGTGCAACTATGTTGCATAGCATGTGATAGGCATTGAGAAGTAATGTCAGTGAGTGAGTCACATGACTGGCAACGATCTCGACGAGGAAGAAAGCAGTTGTAAAGAACAGGACTAGGTACAACTGGACCGGCTGCAATCTTCTGAACCATTCTTTAACAGCCATGACCCTGGAGCAAAGGCACACGGTGAACGTTCCTATTTTGTCCTACACACCGTATGAATACGCAACATCACACCGATTTCTTCTAACAACCGATCGGTTACCGTTGCTCTGTCGCACTCTTTTACGGTAATCTTAGCTTTTTCTTTTTCTTTTTCTCACAACTCTTTGAGAAGCTGAAATTTAGAAACAATATATTTCGAACAAATTTCCTACTTATAGATCGTTCGATATTATTAATTGTTTTAATTATCCAGCAGAAAATTCATTTGACTTCTCGAATATTTCCCATGCAAACGCGAATAAAATCAACGTTAAAAATCGTTTGTTGATGTAACACGTTTATGTTTGAATACATCAGCTACGATTACGATAATGACCCCATAATCAACGTTTTCATCGTTGTTCAAGTGGTCTATCACAAATTTACGAAGCGTGAAGCATGAATTCGTCATAATGGCTCTCTTACGAGCATGCAACACCACGTAACTTCCACTCAAAACCACGCTTCCTTCGAACAATCATTCCACTGTAAACTTCCATAGCAAACGAAGTTTTTATATATTTTACAATTTCTGGAAAAGGTAATAACTAATTAGCAAAAAAGAAATTATTAAAAATTTCATAGAAGGTATCCATCCAAGGTTTCTCGTTATAAAAGTTTATACACTTTAATAATTATCTAGAAGCAATTTCTTTTATACTATGATTGTTCGATTGAAAATTTAAACACTGAAAAAATCACCCACATTATACAAGGATTACATAAAATTATTTTAAGCAAATAGTATCGATCACTGTAAGTTCATTTTCAAAATTTACGCACAATTCTTCGTGACACTTTCGACGTTGACACAGAAACAGGCAACATACGCGTTGTTTACTTGATAAGACATCCCTAACAGACTCGACAAGATGTAACGGCCGAGTGACACGAGTCCTCGGCTATCAAAATGGTAGAAGAAACGCAATTCAGCTGGCGGATGTGGCTGTCGCTCGAGCAGTACAGAAAACGAACAACAACGTGCACCGCCACGATTATCACCAACGGCGGGAATAGATATGATTGATTGACTTAGTCATCGGGGATGAGCATCAAAAATAAACCTAAGTCGAATAAATAAGTTCGATGGAGTTGGGTCAGTCGTGACTCAGTGGACCTCTGGACTTAAAAGTGGACCTCTCAGATTTTAAATCAGATGGTTTCGTGCACTAAAAAATAATATCTTTTAAAGAAAATAGGTAATAATACTTTCGAAGAATTAAATTAATTTATGGCAAATTATGTAATAAATCTGAAAATGCATTTTCTCCTTTTTGAAATATGAAATATCAAATGCAGTAACAACTTTCGTTAAAATATAGAATAGATGATGATTAATTTGAATCATTATCTTCTTGAGCATCTTTTTCGTATCCCTTACAAATAATTAAGGGTGATCCACCCTTTATATAAAGTGTTCCATTTTAATTCTCCTACAATTATCCCTTAAGTTAATTATTTCATTGAACCTTCTATGATTGTTAGCCTATCACTACCTGAAGGATTATCACTTGGTTAGAATAATAGTCACCAATAAACTTGACACTTCCATCTTCACATCCCTTTTTATTCAAAGAGTTTATGTCTTTCAACTAGTTTGAATACTTTAATTAAAGAAAGCTTGTTCTTTTTCTTGGATAACGTGCCCTCATCAGAGGAGAAGGCAACGCGAACGAAACGGTTCACCGGACAAAACTATATTGACGAGGATGCTACTAACAGCAGGCTCATGAACTCGGTTTGCTCGTCAACATGGTATACAGGGTGTCCCATGCAACTGGGTCCACCTATAGTTCTATAATCGACGAAGCTAGAAAAAAATATTATTAGGAAAAATTGTATTGGTATTGGAAGTGGAGGTGTTTCAGAGATGTCAAGTTCAACTTCATTTTTTCAAATAGAATTGTATACTTTGTTATATATCAATTGAAGGGTATTTTAATTCTCTATAAGAAAGTATTAAGGCACTTGGGTCAAAAATCAATTAGTTCAAAAGATATCTTAGGGAGAGACAGGGAGAGATTGATGGTCTCTCCCTAAAATATCATTTGAACTAATCAATTTTCGACCACTGTTACTATATACTTTTTTATAGAGAATTAAAATACGCTTAGATTAATGTGTAGTAAAGTACAAAATTCTATTTGAAAAAATTCTGCTTTTGAAGCTGACATATTTTAAAGTTTGACCCAATTGCATGAGACACCCTGTATACAGTATTCTTTTACAAAGTGTAGATAAGACCCTTGCATATTGTCTTTACCTCGTGATTCCATTAAATTGAATGTTTTATCATTATTTGCCACAGCTTTAATTATCTATGAGTCGTTATAATAAAGAGAATAAAATATTGGTATAGTTATGGAAATAATATTTATTTAGCTTCTTATGTAACTGTTATCTCGAAAATTACTAGTTTTATCATTGTCATTTTTCACTGAAAAAAATGAATGCAATAGATAACAATTGTACGAACTATTATTTGCTATTTTATCATGAAACATATTTCATTTTTAATACACTTTTTATAAGTTCTAGTATTCACAGTATTTGTTAGTGAAAATAAATTGTTCAGAATATTATTACCTATAAACCACAGTAAATTATTCAACTACAAGTTGCAAGGTATAGTACAATCTTATCAGTGAAACTAATTCCAATCTCCTTTATTGCGTTTGCACAGCAACTTGTCATAAACAGATTCAATCTCCAGAATCTGTACGTTTTCATAGATAAAATGTTAAGATAGAAATTCAGACAAGACTTCAGTTAATTATACGAAAATGTTATTCAAATTTGCAGATTTTTAGTGATGTTAATTATTTCAGATTCATGACAGAAAAGTCATGAACCAAAGGTCCTATTCCATAAAGACAAGATAATAGGGGGTCTATTGTGTTCGTCAAAAATTTGACTAGTCATTCTTGACATTTATTTCTTGACTAATATTCGATGACGTGTCTCGAAAACTAATTTACATAGTTCAATTTGAATAATTTCACATTCTTTTGTTGTTTGCTTAATTTTGGACATTGAACATACCTCTAAATATTGTAAAAAAACATGATTTCACTCTTATCACAATTTCTCCATGATGTCTTTTGAAAATTCCCTTTCACAAGTCGTTTTTAAACTGTTCTTGATCAGCCAAGTTACGCTGCTTATGCGTCTTATCGATGAGTGTTTTGAAAAATATACCGCGAAGAACGTCCCTCGACAGCACGAACTTTTTAAATGACGTGGTATATTAGTTAAACAATCAATTAAGTTTCTTTTTAATCGTTAATTATCAATTTTAGTTTCGTAGTATGTAATTCATTTTGATCGGTACCTTTTTCATTCACTGTTTACGAATAATTGCTGATACTCGAGGAGTTCTAATTACAGGTGTAATCGAAGGTTACAAATATTCACACGATCTATCAAACGTGTCATTCATCGTCAACTATAGAATCACGTATACAAGTTAGCGACACAAGTTAACTATACACGTGTATGTATCGAGAGGATAGGTGTATTAAATGTGGGGGCCATCAGAGAGTTAGTTGCGAACATCCGGGCACCATAATAGCCTTTGAACTCTGAAATACTCGCTTCACCGATCATTATTGTCGTCTTAATACCACTTAGTAGAAACATTGTTAGCGATGAACATTCAAGATTCTATTATTAATTCGATCCCTCAGGAAGGACAAAGTAAAATCTTTTTTGATCCCATACATGTGTGAAACACCCTGTATATGAAATGAAATGATTCGAAACAATCACCAATCGATCATTATTCTGTTTATTATTGATTCTACTTCACTAATCCAATTTTTTTTTATAAAAAAAGTTAAAAAAAAAAAATCTTATTACAGCCGTTTATCTTATCACCCAAAATAATTGATTAACTGATGTCACAATTCTTTCTGTTTTTCGGGAACGAGAGAATGATATTATCTGTATCGTCTGTAACACTTAAAATATTAAACTAAAAGGCAGTTTTAGTTAAAATAAACCACGTTAATTTAGTAATTAAATCTTATGTCCAATTCATTGATCGTTCCCTTGTCGAACACGTAAATTCAGAAACGAAGTTTATTGTGAAAACATGAATTAATGAGCGAATTTTTTCCATACAGACAGTCACTAACCTTATATCAATTAATCGTCGTAATTGCTTCGTTCACTTAATTTCCACCGATGATTGTGCAAATGCAATGGACACGCGTGACCCCGTGACTGAAGAATGTCCGTCTTCTAGTTGCTTGGACTATATCTTTGTCCATTGTAATTATCTGTAAGCTTGACGGCTTCTGATAACCTGGTAGATTATCATTTTCATTATCGGACAATCAACAACATACGAATTCAAACAGCTTCCTGATAACTAGCAATCCATTGATTTTTTCTAATCGTTCGATGCTGAAATTTTGAACCGAATATGCCTATTACTAATTACAATTTACTAAAGTATCATAGAATTTTTTATAAATTCATTATACTAAAACTTGTCAAAAACGAATTTTAGATTTCTTATTTTAAGTTACAGAAGTTAGTTAAGTGCACAGGTATCGAATGGTGCATGATGCATTTGTCGGCACCAGAAGTGAGGGCGTTTAGAATATTTCAAGGCTATCCTGGTTTTTTTAAAATGGAAATATATACTTTTCTATACGTCAATCGAAGGGTCATTTTATTCCCTACTAAAGAGTAGTGAGATACTTTAGTCGAAAATTGATTAGTTCAAAAGATATTCTAAGGAGAGACAGGGAGAGACTGACGGTCTCTCCCTAGGATATCTTTTGAACTAATCGATTTTCGACCTAAGTACCTTAATACTTTCTTATAGAGAATTAAAATACGCTCCAATTGATGTATAACAAAGTACTCAATTAAAAAATTTAGACCTCAAAATTTGTTTTATAGTAAACAAAATAGATAGCTTTTTGCAATAGTGTTTGAAAAACTTAATTCCCAATATAACAAAGTTCTTATAAATCCATGAATATAAGAATTTATTTATTTCTTCACACTTTTAATTGAAAGTTTACCCGTGTCCCTATTCTTTCGACAATAATGACCCAATTATTCGTATGAAATAGTAAATTTGATACTTACTACTCTGGTTTATCGAGACGTATTAGGTTGTCCATGATATAGAATACTCCGTTCGTGTGAAGTAGACTGTTTCTTAATAAAATCGTTAAATTGTTGATGATCTACTGGCAAAGTGTTAGCGTCGCTTCAGGAATAGATTGTTCTGGAGAACGGAGAGAGCAGCTGGACTCTCCTTTCTATCGTTTCTCTATTTTTACCTAACGGTTTAGGCTATCATATCCAAACTAATCATTCTAATTATCTATTCCCCCATAAATTTCAATCCTAGATTTTTTAAATGAGATGTAATAGCTAGGCTCAGGTATGCAATTTGAAGACTTTCTTTTCACATAAGATGTGTTACATACTGTAATAAGAGGGTCATGAAATATGGTTTTATATCACACGATTCCGGAAGTATCAGTTTATTTTAATTTTAAAACAATAGTTTTTTATAGAAATACAACCATACATTATACTTAATATCCTAAAAAGAATTTCGATATTTAAAATATAATTCATTACTAATTATAAAGAACTAATTTATAATAAACTCCATGACGAAACGCTGTATTTCAAAGAGACTGCCATAATACAAAAAAGCTACAACTATTCAACACTTCATTTTTTTAAAAACCCGCTAAATACGTGGCGTCATCTACTGTTTGGTGCTAAAAATGAGCTTTTTGATTCCTCCGATAGGGTGCGCAAGGAATACATTGTTCTACAGTTCTTTTCTTTACTATCAGAGGCGCCACTGTACAAAATGCGGGAGTTCCCCTTACCATTTGAAACACTAACATTATTAAAAATCACTCTTTTGTCTTATTAAAAGCAATAGTATCCCCCTGTTAATTAATTGAAAAACAAATGAGATCGAAAGATTCTATTAATAGCTTCTTTATTAACTGTTGTAGGATTTTATTTTAGCCATTTTTGTTAATGTTCTTTGTCAGGGTTATTGACATTTACAATCTACATTTCAATAACCATTTGTTCTCTTATTATTGTTTAAAGTTCATTTATAAGTATAAAGTCGTCTAATAAACTTGGTACAAAATCATATCACAAAAAGAGCTAATAGAAACATGTATAAGAGTAAAACATATTTCAGTTAAGAAACTCGGGTAAATAAGAATATGAAAATATTATGCTGTTCAACAAATATGTTATAGCTTTGTATAATATGCAATGACAATAGAAGTGCATATTGCCTGTTGAATAGAAAAATGAAATTCCTGATTTTCATTAAAAACTTTGTCGGATCAAAAATATATGACACCTAGGTGCAGCTGCATCTCGTTCACTCCAATGCACCCAGTTGCATGAACGTTTTCGTTGAATTTAATTACAGATTGATCAGCAATTCAGGATGCTCGTTGTTCCTCGTTTCAATTATCATTCGACAGGGCATAAAATGAATGCTTTCAAAGTCCCATTTCTTAATACTCCATTCTGTCGTTAATTTTGTCTAGGTTCACTGCTAGTACTGTTCGCCTGAGATATCGACGATGAAGCAGATATATTTTCGTGGTTCAACATGTTCTCGCGGTTCTGATGCATTTGATCCTGTTGATGTTGATGCTGACTACGGTGCACCTCCAGTGCTAACAATTTCTGTCGTTTTTCTTCCATCAAACGTTCTCGATGCTTGTGAATGTAGTCATTCACGTTCGGTAAGCCCATAATTACGCAGGCTGACAACGCTGAACGATATACATTCATATCTGTTGCTTCGTACCTGTAGAAAATATTTCATCTAATGGTAGATTTAACACGTAGTTCTGATCGAAGGCCGTAGATCTACGTTCTGTAAAGCAAACAAGCCGTAGCACCTGACAACGTAGATCTACCCTATTGCAGTGCCGGATTAAGGGGAGATTTAAGGTAGCTCTGTTTATCAATCAACAGGTTTGATAGCATCGGGCCAAGGAATCTTAATCCGGCCCTGCCCTTTCGAATATACAAATTTTACAGTTTCAGGAATTTATGGTAATATTTGCCGATAATTGTTTAACATTCACCATCCATTCGTTTTTTCATCATAACATTCAACGTGATAGATGGTGGTGACACCGTTGAATCCTCCGATTGCAAAAATCATGTCATCGATCACTCCGATCGCGAAATTACTGCGTGAATTGTACATATCTGGAATTTGCGTCCAAACGTTAGTGGCGGGATTATATTTTTCACCGCTGCACATTCTGGATATCCCATTGAAACCTCCTGTTTAAAATTGCTGGATTACTTTAGGTGCCTCGAATCAATTAGAGGAAATATCGTTCATGGATTAATTACCAATTACGTATACGTGACCGTGATAGGCTATGCAGGATACTCCACTTCTACGGGATCTCATCGGAGCTACCAGTGTCCATTGATTGGTTTCTGGATCGTACACTTCGGCCGAGTTTAAACATTCGTGTCCATTGAAACCACCCGTGATATAAATTTTATCTGTGTTATAAATAAATTAGAAATCGATTCATAGATAACAGTCGTGGATGATTTTCTGTACCGTTTAAAGTAGTTGCACTGGCGTCCGATCTTTGGCAATTCATCGACGCAATGAGAGACCATTGATTAGTTTTGTAATTATAACGTTCCGCGGTGCTTTGTCGATAATACCCATCGTATCCTCCCATCGCGTAAATCAGATCGTTGAGTACTGCGACGCTAACGTAACACCTGGAATTGTTAGTAGAAATATTTGTGATATACAATTTAGCGAAGAATTTGCATGATATAAGGTATAATTTGAACCTTCTGGCGTTCATTGGAGCAATTTCTCTCCAAACTTTGGTGACAGCGTTGAAGCAACGGCAACTGTTAAAGTAATCAGATCCGTTGAAACCACCGATTACGTAAATGTTAAAACCGACCACCGCTGTACTATGATATGCACGAGGTCCGATCGGATCTACCTCTTCCACCTTTCAAAATAATAATGGACAGCAGTAGGTGCTAAATAATTTTCTGTGATGAAGTAGTATCGCGTAATGGTCAGGTCGAGTGACTGGATGTAAAAATGGAATAAAGATTTTTTTTTTTTTTTCAATGATTGCATCTCTTTTGGAAAATAAAATTATCAAAATCTTGGTAAATGATATTTTGAAATCATATCGAAGAGTGAAGTAAAAGTGCATAAAAATTGTAGGAATTTTGTGAAATACCAAATGTATATTAGGAATAAAAGAGAAACATATACCTTAACCCATCGATCAGCTCTGGTGTCGTAAGTTTCGATGAAGTTCGTCGGACTTCTGCCGCTCCAACCACCTATGGCGAACAATATTTCATGGGGTACCCGTGGTCGTGCGATCTTTGGCGTGGGTATCTCCCCATCTTTTTGCGTGATAATCTCGAGATCGTATAAAAATTTTAAGGTTTCGATAATAATAGGCCGGCACGCGTCGTTTCCAGTAACGTACGGATGATCCTTCACATTCTCCAAGAAGAATTGTGTATCCAGTAGTCCGAGGCGAATGTTCTTCATCAGATCGACTATGTATTTTTTTCGTGATTGGGGATCGTGATCGATCCATTTCAATACCAGCTCCCAAACGGTGTCCTCGCTTTTCACGTTCAGCTCGTCAGCACCGATCAATGCTGTCAATTCTTCTATCGGTAATTCAAGTATTTCCTCGCTTCGCTGAGCTACCTGCGTTCGGTACGATTTATGCAAATGTCGGCAATTTACATTCATTGATTAACGTTAACGGATAATTAACACGCTGCCATCACATCAATTTTAAATTTTGGAATCTTAGAGTCTTAGAATTTTAGAAACTTAAAATCTTAGGATTTTGGGAATATTTAAATTTTGGAATTCTGAAATCTAGAATTATAGAATTTTCGAAATTTTAGAATTTAGAACTTTGGAAGTTTGAAATTCTGGCATTTTGGAATCTTAGAACTTTCCTATTCTGGAATTTTGGAATGTTAGAACTTTCCTATTCTGAAATTTTCAGATTTTTAGAATCTCAGAATATTAAAAAATATTGAATGCAGCTGCGAGGAGGCAGTGGAAGCGTAATGACCTGCACAAAGTATCTCATGACATAACGATACGTGCTGTTCTCCAGCCCCTTGCAAAAGTGTTCTCGGGCGAACCTCATGACGCTGATGCAGTTTTCTGCTGCTAGATTTTGCTTCAGGTACTCGCAGCAGAGTTCGAGAACACCGAGAACGTTCAAATAATCCGCGGTGACCAACAACTGATAGACGTTCTCGTTATTTATGCTGATGGATCGCAGGTACGCGTACTCCAGAAGGAGATTCATCATGTTACTGCTGACACCCGGTAACAATACGTCCGTTTTTTCCCGCGAATGCAACGTTGTCGTGAACAGTGTTCTAAAGATTAAATTTTTCATTTTCAGATTGCTGTACAACTACTTCATCTGTGGTACGTACACCTAGGAGCATTGTAGACTTTCTTAAAGAAAAAGGCGATGTAAGGTAAGAAGACTTCACCACTTGTTATAATTTTTTGAAATTAAAATAATAGAATTAATATTAAATAAAATTTTCTAAATTTAAGTAACATTCCTCTTCCTCTGAAATGCCATTTTCCTTACAAAAGCTTACCATGCTCGGTACTGTACCTAAAGTACGGACTACACGCCGACAAAATGGCTCGGTGAATCGGAAAAATGCCTCCATCTTCGAGTCTTATAACAGCATCGCAAAGTAAATTATTCTGTCGAAAATCATAGAGAGATTGCATCGCTTGCGTGCTCATGCATCGGCCACCGCTTTCAGCGATCAAACGCTGCGTGTTCGTTTCGCAAAAGTCGATTTCTTTGTCGCTGTCGTTTGAATCTACATCCATATCAAGTTTTCGTTGAGATCTCTTCTAAAAATCCCCGACAAAGATGAACCACGTTGTCCAATTTTCAGAGTTTCCTAACCAAAGTTCTCTAATCAAATTGCTATTTAATTAAAACCCTACTTCCAAGTCGCTTAAAACATTCGTACCAAATTAGGTAAATCTACTTACTGGAAAAGGGCGATGATTTATAAATCGCCCTGGGCTCGAACATTTTAAGCAAGAGTTCTAGGGTTAATGCGAAAGAATAGAAGTATCCAAAATTTTATCGAAACAAATGTTTCTTCGTTTCATAATTATATTTTTCATAGAATGACGCGTTTCCGATTGTCTCTTACCTGCGAATCGAAGAGTATTCGAAGAACTAGAAATTTATCAATCGTCCAAAAGGTTAAGGTTTCACTCGGTTGTCAATGCTTTCGATCGACTGAACCTTGCAATTTTCACGACTTTGATCTTCAAATGAGCAGTTCCAAGTGTTAACTTTCGTGATTTTGTCAGGTACGATTTACATAATCAAGGTGAGGTACTAGCGAAGGAGATTCATACGCGTTGCAATTTCGGATGTGTCAAATGTTCTCTGACACGTGGACGGACGGACTTGAAGACCGGATTGTACGATTAGGATTTTAAAGGTAGAATTGACGTGGAGTGGGACGAGTAGATGGTTGACAGAATGGTACGAACTATTTAGTTGTGATTTTAAAAGACAGTGAATGTCGCTTCTGGCTGTGACATAGGTCTTACATGTCCGCCGTTCAGTCTAGGACTGTCTGCTAACAAATGAGGATTCTCGTGGCAAGATTCATGTAGTAGCACGGTTGAAATTAGTAATTAGCTGTCAGTTGATCAGTCGCAGTATTCAGTCAATGATAAATATGGATGAAATAACAATGTACATGTTTAATGATAAAGATTTATTTTAACAATTAAATTCTATACTAATTGAACACCATTAATTACTGAAATATTCAGTTTCTTGGGACAGTTCATTATTCGCACTATTCATATGAAACCGTGTAATAATTAATACAGGGATAATTAATATACTTAATTTTAATCACTCTAGGATATAAAATTGATGTTTAAAATAATGCTGAGCAACGACAAAACATCCTGTATGTACATCTGCAATTTATTAATCATACTATGTTTCATTTTCCCCCACCAAAAAATGATCTTCGAAATTCCAAAGATTCAATTAATCAGGCGAAGAACGCGGACACGGTGTTCATCGTTTGTTCAAAAACAATCTGTTCCATTTTCTTCTCACCCTTCTTCTCCTCGACATTCTTCGATCCTCCTTTCAATCTCTCCTCCACCTTCAAGTATTTATTTTTACGAATCTCTTCAAACTTAACCTCCTTTTCCATTCGCTCGTCGGTCTGACAAAAAGTAGCGGTGCAGAACTTCAAATCGCTCAGCGACATCACCGACATGGTCGAGTAGCATAATTTGGGGATGATCATGCTTTCAGATAGGTTGTTCACAAAACCGTTCCATTTCTCTGGGAAAGTTTCCCCGACCTCCGCCATTTCCTTGATAGACTCGACCATTTTCGACTTGCTCTCCGTTTTCACCGCGCTATTCGCTTCCTTATCGAACATCCGGAACGTCCAGGTGACCACGGCGAAGGTGACGGCGTTGGTCGGAAATGCTCTAAGGATCGTCGAACTGAGTCCTCTGTACAAACAACCGTACCCTTCCGTTTTCACCGATTTTTTCAGGCAATCGATCATCCCCGTGTAACGATGTCCATCGATCGCTTGTATCCGTGACTTGATCACGTCCAATGGGTAAGATATGGTCCAGGACACGGATCCGGCTATTCCTCCGGCAAGCAGCATATACGGCGTGGAGATCGGTTCCGATCTGAACGTCCTGGTCAACGCTTCGTAAGTTAGGAAATAAATCCCGAAACTCGGTGTTTCCCGAAGTAGGGTGATGTTGAAACCTCTGAACACACCGCGGTAACCTTCGTGCTGGTAGGTATACTTCAGGCACTGCAACGGTCCGGAAAATTGACCTGTCGTCTTCTGCAACTGCATGCGAGTTTTCGCCAGCTCGATCGGGCAGCTAATCGGGCTCTGAGCGATTCCAGCCAATGCACCCGCGATGAAGTACGAATGCAACGACTCCGGGTCAGATAAGCATCGTTGAGTTTGACCGTAGACGCCGAAGATGATGGCGTTCACAACTGCGACGCCTGCCACCGGGGACGACATGCCTCGGTAAAAACCTGCTACCTGATGGAACGAATCGTGTTAATAATTTTGATATTCTAATTATTCTAAGTTAATCGTGTACCGATTCCTCCGCGAGTATCGTCCGGAAACAATGCAAGTTCCCTTTGTATTTCGGCGCACGATAGTCCTGGGTTTGGATGTGGACCTTGATCGTGTCCAGAGGATATCCCACCATAATACCGGCGAACCCTGAAACGCATCATTTTGTAAATAAATAAATTGTACATCAACGAAGCTGATGACTTCCTGCGGAAGAACGTAGTTTCCATTTTAATGATAAGATGAAACTAAAACATTGAATATCGGTCATTTACCTCCCAGACATCCAGCGAGGAAGTCGAGTGCCATTTTCTTCTACCAGCTATTCCAACGCGTTTCTTCCAGCCGTACGGCGAATACGAGCCCTGTACGTTTTTATTCCGATAGAATCTTTCTTGGACGTTTGTTAAGGATGCGCTGGTGCAAGTGTAAGCGACGAATCGTATTCTTTCCACAGCAGAAGTGGAATCCATGTAAGATTGATCACTGTTCGGTACTCGAGCCTGTAACGTGAATATCATTCATTTAACCTTCAACGTCGGATGCAGGATCAGTTTGATTCAGTATAGTGGATCACAATCAGCGATCGGGCCTTTTTCCCCTAGAGCGCCATTTTCCCTAGAGAAACTTACCGTGCTCGGTACTGTACAACTTTTCGACTCGTTATTTCATTTCTTTTCAGGTTAAAAACGTACAGGAAAATGAATACTGGATAATACGTGTTTTAGAAAAAAAAAAAAAAAAAAAGAGAGAAACGATTTAACGGGTTATTCTTTCGCTACTATGGAAAACTATAGCTGATTACAGAAATGGTAAAATGGTCACTGGGTTCAATGGACACTTATAGTGGTATAATGTTATCTTTCTATTATACCAGATAAAATTTTATGAAGAAAATTCATTTTTTTTTTATATAAAAACGTACGGGTATTGTTTCTGACAAAGACAATCGTAATGAAAAGGTTAAATAATAAATTCGAAATACTTGCCAAATGATACTGCATCGCTACATCTCCAATGACACGATCCAGCTGATTTGTCCTATTTTTCTTTCTTCAATTATTCCTTTATTCAATGTTTGCACTCTTTTCCTTGGAAAGCAGACTCCTTCAATGCTTTCATGATCGAATAGAATTTCGCACTGGATCTATTTGCTTAGCGAGTTTATTTCGTTCTTTGAGCTAAGATTATGCTTATATTATCAATGACGAACGCGTCTTCCAGTTATTGCGGCAACGATATTAACAGCATTCGTGCATCCCTATCGCAGTGAAGAAACAGCCTGAGGGTCAAGCATTGATAACAGGACGGTCTTTTTTTTGTTCCTACCGGCCAATCGAATTTGTATTTCGACGTTCATTGACGTTCATATTTGGTAAACAGTTAGGCATAATTCATACTACAGTTATTTACAAATATCGCCATATTTTTAAATTCTCTGTTTCGTATAAAGAAAGGGTTATTCGAGTACCCTGTCACTTGAAACATTAACAATTTCTTTTTAATAATTTATAGGAAAATTAGGAGGAATAAATATTTGAAAGACAAGAGTTCTTGTCTTTCTTTCCTCTTTCTGGTCTAATGCTCTAATGAATAGTGTTAATTAAAATTTTCATTATTCAATGAATGAATAATGGTCGCTGATAATTGTCGATAGAGTTATCACGTATAGAACAATTCTGTTCTGTTAATGTAATTGCAAGCTTAATTTTATTAATTAATTTTAACAAAATGAAGATATATCGAAATTAATACGTGATACACCAAAATCGTTGATTTCTTAGATGGAATAACAAAATGGATGTTCCATGTTATTACCTCCACTATTTCATGCTGTTTCTTAAAACGTATACTATGTTAATTTTCTACACGATCAGTGAATATTTTCTATCAACCTGTGGCGGCATCTCATTAAAATTGATCAGCGCAATGCGATCAGAACCAGTCCTATAAAGGCGCTCAGCTTGTGAAAATCGTGAGACTGTTGCCTGACCACTTTCACATTCGTATTAACTAAAATATTTTGCAAAATGTACGCGAAAAACACGCCAGCAGCCCAGACAGATACGAAAGACAATGGATCGTATAGTTCACCACCTGATAAGGTAAGAGGGATAAACATTAATCCAGTTCCAAATTAGTTAAAAACACTGTCCGACGTCGATCGGTTAAAATCAATTAAAATATTTACTTTAATTTAGCGATCAGTGTTTACAACGTTGGCAGATTTCATTATGAATGAATAAAAAAGAAAATTGTAGTTCTGAACGTTTTTAATGAATTCAGTACGTCATAGGGTTATTGATATTGCTATCATATCAGTGATAATATTGTTTTTCTTAAAAATATGAAGTGCTGCATTTCGGTGCAGCTACTTATTTTTATTTTGACAAATTTTGGTAAAGTGTGGAGGGGACAGATTTTTGAGAGCGTAGGACTGGCACCTGTCTAGTTACATCAATGACTGTCATTAAAAATAAAATTTTGAAAGAAATTAAATGCTATGAGATATTAAAAATTCGAATTTTGGTTATATATCTCCACGAATGTTGTTCAGGAATTTTACAGCATTATTTGCAAAGTTAATAATGAATACAAACATCAGTTTAATATAATTTATGATCCAGGAGTAGCAAAACCAGTTTGCGAAGAATTAATAAACGAGGAACTTGTTCGACAGCTATCGTGGTCTTAGTCAAAATAATAATTACAATAATGAAGTGACAAGAAAAAGTAATAAAAATTATGTAATAAGAAATAATGGTATCTTATACTCGTACGTTATTTTATATACAACAGTAGCAATCTATCATATTTTGTTGAATGAATATTAATAACATTACATAACTTAACATTTACATAATTTTATTGAGCTGTTATTTATTGATAGTACATGATTATAGGCTCAAATAAAGGTAATGAGACTAGGGTATAAAAAAGGAACTACATATAAAATATAACAATTTTTTATTTTTTATTCTTTTTAAGTTACATAGAGTAATAACACTTGATGACAAGATTGCATGATTCATTAATGAGCCTTATAGTACTATAAAGGATGTCCCATGTAATTGGGCCTAGTTATAGCTCTAAAATGGTGGAAGATAGAATAGTTGTTATTAGGAAATATTAAATGGCGTCCAATTGGAGCACGACGCAATACCCGTACACGTGCCAGTACCGGAAGTGGAGGTGCCTCAAAGATTTCAAGGTCAACTTCATTTTTTTTAATGGAACTATGTACTTTTTTATACATCAATCGAAGCGTATTTTCATTCTCTATAAAATCGTATTATGACACATTAGTCGAAAATTGATTGGTTCAAAAGACACCTTAGGGAGAGACAGGGATAGATTGGTGGTCTCTCCCAGGGATATCTTTTGAACTAATCAATTTTCGAGTCAAGCTCCTTGAACTTTTTTATTAAGAATAGCAAGATGCAAAATTTGGCATCAAGCGAAGTACAAAATTCAAAAAAAAAAATTTTCAAATTTGGAAAGCCCAAGTCTCTCCTCGAAATATCTTTTGAATTGATCAATTTTCGACTCAAGTGTCTTCATACTTTTTTAACGTAATTGCAGTCGATTCAATTACATAATTGATGACCTGTTTCATAATCTATAAACGTTTATTATGCAAAATAAATATGCATTTAACATTAATCAGGAATTACCCAGTGATTACCCAGATTTCTTAGGTAAAACTTCCTGATTTCATTCTTTGAAATATATGATCTAAGAAAGTGGAATAGAAGTTCAATCTATTCTTGTAATTCTAAAAAATTATTAATTTCCAAATTGAAATTAATACCTAACACAGTGGATGGAAATAAATGATAGAATATTCACGGTTATCGAAGTTGAAGCTAAATTTACATAAAATCATTTTTAACATATTTATATTTATATCAGAAATAGGCAGATTTCAGTGGGTGAAATCGACCTTGGTATTCAACGTTGTTGATTATAATTAGAATGATGCAAAACTGTCGAAAATTACACGATCGGTGAGCGTCTCCCCTTCCTTTGTCGTGTGATTTTTGTAAAAGGACACTCGGGATCGGAAGGCGAAGAGTTTTTGTTGCATAGCTCCGCTTGAACGGAATTAACGATAAACGTTTTGCAGTTTCACTGAAAGATAGAAAAATGTGGTGAACAAGTGTATAAAAGAGGGGATCGTGATGGTGTTTTGTGTCTTATAAAAGTAGACGTCGTGACAGGTTAATGAAGTGTAGTTTCTGTAACAGTCTCTCTCAGGCTATCAGCTTCACGGTGTGAAATAATCTTCATTTGTATATATGAACATCGGCTACGAGAATCGTATCAAAGCTACGCTCATGATGCACGACGTAAGGATATTTCAAATTCAAAAAAATAGAAAACTCGTATTTCCTATGAATATATTATTTGTCACCTTGTACTCGTGAACGTAAAAGTACTGATACGTTTGCTAAAATGTTTTCAATCGTTCTGGTTTACCTTGAGATTGTTTGCCGTTTAAAGATGTCAATTCCTACTTGCGGAATGTTCTTTCGCTAAGAATTGTAATTTTGTGAATTTTGGAAGATTTTATTCATTGTATCCATTTTAGCAAAGCAGTTTAGGTTTCTTGAATTCTTTCTTTTTTAATTTTCAGATTCAAAGATTTTTTAATTTTTCAAATTGCGCAAATTAGCATATGTAGATTTTGCTAATAAATTTTATTTCTTTAGATTTTAAAGATTTCTAATTGACCCGGCTGTGCTATTTGAGGGTTGAATACGAGATTAATTAATTTATTGTAATTTCAACAGAATTTATTAAGATTGAAGAAAAATCATGTGAGCATAATCGAATGTAAACGTTTATATAACGTAACTTTTTTCACTACTTTCTCTTCTCCTTCCCTCACTTGGATTTTCTCATTTATCTACCGTCTTCCTGTGTTATATCTCAAATATCATTATAGACAAACTAACTTTAATAGATAGAACGTCGATTTCAATTTCTTTTAATTATTTAAAAATAAAAAGATCGAGACAAATTAATCAAAATAAATATTTCTGTCATTATTTTGAAAAGCCCAAATTGGTACATGGAGGAAACTACATCAAGGAGGGTACAGACTCCGCTAAAAGCACTTGTTTGATTTTTTCACCCAAAGAAGAAGATTCCGTTGGAGCATTAGGAAGATATCTTCAACTATTTGCTGTGAGTTTCCTTATCAAAATTGTACAGATTAAATTGATATTCGATCCTCGACCCAAACGAAACTTCCAAAAAATAATTTTGCGTTTGCAATTTCGATCGAACGATTTCGTTTACAGCAACACGAGGTCAATTTATTGCACATCGAATCGAGAAGCTCGCTTCGTCGATCGAACGTGTACGAATTCGTGGTGGAATGTGCGCCCGGTGGAAATCTTGGAGCAATGATAGAAAATTTACGCGAGCAGTGCAGCTATTTCTCAATTATATCTAGGTGAATATCAGAATAATAACTGATATGACACATTCCAATATTTCATTCTCGATCCTCTGATTAGAAATCATAAAGATAATATGGGAACCGTGCCATGGTTCCCGAGAAGGATCAGGGACCTCGACAAATTCGCCAACCAAATCCTCTCTTATGGATCTGAACTGGATAGCGACCATCCGGGATTCACGGACCCCGTTTACCGACAAAGGCGCAAGTACTTTGCTGACCTAGCTTACCATTACAAACAGTGAGTTTCCTCGTTCAATTAAATAACGAAGTCCTGGAACCGTTTACTAATACTTCTGATTTTTTGTTTCAGCGGTCAACCGATACCCAGAGTGGAGTACACTAAAGAGGAGATCGAGACTTGGGGGGTGGTTTTCCGGAACCTGACGAAGCTTTATCCAAAGTATGCTTGCAAGGAGCACAATCACGTGTTTCCTTTGCTGATTGAAAACTGTGGCTACAGGGAAGATAACATCCCTCAACTGGAGGATATTTCAGATTTCTTAAGAGGTGGATTATTATTGAATAAAATTTCACTACAATTGTATTTAATATAATTTTATTTTTTTTTACAGATTCTACAGGTTTTACGCTTCGTCCAGTGGCTGGTCTCCTTTCCTCGCGCGATTTCCTTGCTGGCTTGGCTTTCAGAGTGTTCCATTCCACGCAGTATATCAGACACAGTAGTAAACCTCTGTACACACCTGAACCTGACGTATGCCACGAAATACTTGGTCATGTCCCGTTGTTTGCCGATCCCTCGTTCGCTCAGTTCTGTCAAGTCGTAGGTCTGGCATCCCTTGGGGCACCAGATGAGTATGTCGAGAAACTTGCTACGGTAATTTATTCATATATATATATATTTTTCATGGACTTTAGCATATTTATCAGTCTAATATTAATTTCATTTTCCATCGCTATTTTTGGAAATATTCTTTTTCTGATATATGGAAGTCTTTCGATAAGAAATTTCGACAGCATAATTTTTCTTCCAGTGTTTCTGGTTCACGGTAGAATACGGTATTTGCCGGCAAAACGGCGAGCTGAAAGCGTACGGCGCTGGATTACTCTCGTCTTTCGGCGAGCTGGAGTATTGTTTGAGCGGTAAACCAGAACTGCGACCTTTTGAACCGGCTAAGACTGCGTTGCAAAAGTATCCGATAACTGAATATCAACCTGTGTATTTCGTTGCTGAAGACTTCGAAGATGCGAAACAGAAAATGATGTGAGTAAAACTGGTCGAATTTGTATGTTTTCAGATTACACTATTTGCTGGCAAATGCTACGAATCAAGTTCCGTTCATTTTATGTTACTCTTTGCTAATTTTTTTGCAGTTTTCATAAATATTACATGATCTGCGATATTCGATTAATCAGTACCAGAGATCATGTTTTATTCCGACCGGTTACGCAATTATTATTTTACATTTTGCTAAATGAAAGTTTCATAGATCTTGTTCGAAGAACGCATATATATACTTTCGAAATTACGTCAAACCGATTGATATCATTTTTATTTAAAACGTTATTATTTTTATTTTTATTCGGTATACAAGGGGCTTTAAATCAGTGCATCAGCTAGTTCATAAAATTGTTCAATTTGCTAAGAAACAAGTTTTCTGCTTTCAGCAAATTTTCCGAGACCATTCCAAGGAAATTCGGGGTCAGATACGACCCGTACACTCAGAGCATAAATATAATAGATAGCAAACACCAAATCGAGGACCTCATTTACAATGTAAATCAAGAAGTACAAATTCTTATGGATGCTCTCAAAAAATTAAAGCAATAGAAATGAATATTCAATATTTTACCAGCAGAGAAAACATAAGTTCTTTAATACTAATTTAATAAACATTTAATTTTTAATTTTTTCAATATTTTAGTATTCAATTAAAAATAATAAAGCGATATTTTTAAAAGTTTCTTTTTAGCACGCTTATGTCACGATATTTGAGTGTCAGTCAGATTTTATTTAACTCTGCGCATGCGCAACCAATGGGACTCCTGTGCTCTACGCATGCGCAACCAATATGATTCCTGTACTCCACGCATGCGCAATCAATATGACTCCTGTACTCCACGCATGCGCAACCAATATGATTCCTGTACTCCACGCATGCTCAATCCATATGACAATCAAGGAGCCTGCTTTCAGTCCGGCTTGAACGCACTTCTTTCTCCTTTCGTCCTATTGGCATCTTATGAAGTTATTACTTAAAATTTAATAAATAATAATTTTCAATCAAAGTAGCATTATTAAAAAAGTTGCAAAAATATTTCGTTGGGTTTAGGAATCTTTATTTGTAACACGTATGAATATTTTCTTGAATTTCTTTTAATCATGTATTCTTATTATTGTTAATATATAACAATTTATTAATTTTTACACGATTTCACTTGGAATGTACATGTATAATCAATATAACAATTATAAAATATACCAATTTCGGTCTCACATCCACGGGTATAGGTACGCTCAAAAATCTATCACTACACATTTACAACAAAATATATTAATATACATATGTATACATATATATATAAATTTGCGAATATCCCCTGTTTCCGTACTCGTTTCCTATAATAAACATCATTGAATTTAAATGATCGATTATTGTCTCTATGTACCTACATATGGAACATACAATTTTCGCTTTCTCCAGTTTTTTGTACTCTTGTAAATAAATTAAAAAATACTATTCCTCCTTTTACGTCCTGTACTTTGTTCAATTCATATTAGACAACAGTTTCATGGGTATATACATATACACATACCAGTGACGTTATTCGTCCTTTCCATAATCCTATTTTTGATTTTATCAACAATAAATAAAGTCGAATATTTTATGAATATTGTCTGAAGACTGAAATATGAATTCTCGATAGTGTACAGTTGGCGATATAGGGAAAGGAGGCTCCTCTACTCGTGATAACATTAAAAACTTAAATTTTAAATAATGCATGAATCATTAAATGAACAGATGAAAATTCACGACATCCTAACTCGAAAGACATTAATATTAAGATCAATTTACAAAAAAAAATTAATATAATCTTTCATCATTAAATACTATAAAATTCAATTCAACTTCGAAGTTCCAACAGTTAAAACTATTATTTTTTACAAAATTGGTCAGCCAGTTAACATCCTGTAACTGTTTCACGTACATCAGCCCCACACGAATCAAATTTCCTCTTTCTAATCTCTCGCTTCCGGTTCTCAATTTTGCGACGATCTTTGCTGTTGATTCGCAGGCGTTTCCATGTCGTTGTACAGTATATCAGCTTGATGGGGACAGATTTGAAAAGGCACGAGATCCGGAGGATTGTTGTTAGGTTGCGTCGATGCTTGCTGTTGGGGTTGTTGCTGGGCTTGCGGCTGTAGGGGTTGAATCATGGCGGCGACGTTTCCTTGGACAGCGGCCGGTACTGTTGGCACAGGGCTCACCGTCAGGGGGTGAGAGAACAATTCGGTAGGCACTATTGGCACTGGCACCGTGATCGGCAGAGGAAGAACGTTCACACCTTGCACGCTGCTCGACGTGGGTAATTGCACGTTTGAATTGTTCGTGTTGCATCGGTTCATTTGCTGGCATGCATTCGTTGCATTGTAAGGCATGCTCGCCTGCAATCAAAATATTATTTTAAATAAACAGAAAGTCCATTTGGGTAGCACTAGGCACTCTATTTAAAATACGTACATTAAGTAACGGCGACAGAATTCCATATCTGGCGATGAATAATTGTTCCGACACTCTTCTAAGCTCTTCTTGTTGATGCACTATCAATTGTTGCAGTTCCTCGTGTTTACGCTGCAACTCGTCTTGAATTTGATTCTGTGCCGGTGTCATCACGATACCCTGTTGATGTAACATCTAAACATATCCATCGGTACTATAATTTAATTCTGATGAAAATTTAGAAGGATCAGAATTTTGTTTATATTTTTACCTCAGGCGTTGAAAGGGCGGAGACGATCGGCGTAGCCGGTGCTGCGAAAGCTGTACTGACCACAGGCTGCAGATTAACAGTCGCGTACGGTGTTTGTTCAATGAAATTAATACAACTCTGATCGACATCTATCAAAGGTTGTTGCTGATGTTGCGGCTGCTGTTGCTGCTGCTGCGGTCTACTGTCCATGGGGGGTATGGGGTGAGTTTTCGACGTGATCGAACTGTTCGCCGAAGTTCCTTTCGATCTTGAAATGTGTGTGATTTGGGAATGCGGAGAACTTCGTAGAGAAGCTGACACCGAGGAAGAGTCGGAACTTTCCACGTGTCGCGATCGGGTGTTCGATGCTACCGATTTCGACGTCCTCGACGATTTCGGCCACTGTGTCGGCGAAACTGGACAGGACGTCGTTACCTATAAATAGGAATTTCCATTTTAATTAATTTTTAGAAAAGACTACATGTATTTCGCCTTTAACAAAATTAAATTAAAATTGGGACTCTCTCCATGGTCCGTCACTCGGTGGTTAACACAATTTCTTAGCTTGCGAGTTGCAATTAGAACTTAATTACACTACAAGTTGCAATTTAGTTTAATAATAACTTATAAATGTATAGGGTGTCTCAAAATAGATATACCTGCTGTTGTTTCACTGGTATTAAAACATCCTGATTTTGTTCCTTATTAAAATTCTCTGTCTCTTTACGTAATTCTTTAATTACGTCAATGTAGCTAACGACATAGTGCGTGCAGACAATGAATTCTGGCTTAGAATTCCATTGATTATACGTGATGTAAAATCTAGTCTGTAACCATATCCATTGTTGGCCTTTCGTGAGAAACCTGTAGTAGCAGGACGTTCCTTCACCCTTTTGCATTACTGTAAAAGAATCCTTCCTCGTCTCTGCTTCATGTTTTTGAATACATTTTCATACTTACATGATTCGTGACACATGACCACTTTATCTAAATCATCCACATGGTAATAATCGTAGCCAGACGTGCCCAACACTTCGAAGGGAAGGTAGCCGATGATAGGAGGTGCTCGATGATCAAGAAATAAGAATTTCCATTCGAGACTGTGCCGGGACGTGAATTCTGACTTTGTGTTATCCATTACGGATAATTCGCGGATCAATTGGGGCGTTTGAAGACGTCCTGTACCCACGAAAACTAATCTAAGGTAACACAAGTGAATTCACTGCAATAGAGTTTGGTATAGCGATCGTGTCTATTACAAAGTGCACCTATATTGTATATCTAAAATATTTCCGCTAATACAGAATCATTTATTTTATATTAAATTTCTATCGAAATATTTTAAACGCACAAATTAGACGATTCATCCTACAGGATGTCTTACAAATAATTATGTAAACCGGAAAAATAATAATTCTACATGAACAAACAAGTGGAAAGTGTTGAATAAAATTTCATATTTATAATTAACATTTTCTTAGCAATTTGCAAATTAATGAACGTGGTATCGTGGACAAGACATATCACAATTAAACTTTAGAGCAAAATATGGAACTTGTACAAATGTGACTTTCGACTAGCAAACTTTTATTCCACACTTTCGATTAATTATTACATGTAGAATTATCATCGGAATACCTTGTGCATTCTTTTTTTGTTTTAATTTGCAATTTAATTACTTTGTATCTATTCCAGTGGTACTGCCGAACTTCGTGTTCGGTAATAAATTGTCTACCTCCGTATCGACGTCGGAGCCTAGAACAAAAATAATATATCTATACTACTTAATGCAATGTGGAATGTTAAAAGGGAATATAATTAATTACGTACGAAAATATCCAACAAATTGTACAAGCTCGTATACTGGGTTCTCCTGGACATTTAGACCGCCCCTTTTTATGTGACAGGAGAAGAATATTTGATCCTCTGTGCATTAAATCGTCGTTAAAATTTATTAAATCTTTAGTTAATATTCCATTGTCAATTTATAAAAGGTTTATCATTCACCTTTTTTAATATTTCGTCGATCCCTCGTATTAGCAGGATTCAATAATACGTTGTATAAGGATGATTGGTCCTCTTGATATGTAATATCATAGATTGTTGTATTCTCTAACTCGTTTGGAAGATATCCAAGCAGAGACGTAACACTTTCGGACACGTAATAAATGCGCCCGCTTGAAGAAAATACCATTATAAAACCGTCCAGAGCCTATATTGAGGAAATGTTGCTTGGGTTTTTATCAGTAACAACATCATTCGACGGAACATCGACAATCATGCTACTAATCAATTTGCAAACACTCGATCAATTATTCACATATCTGATAAATAAAAATTCTAATAAATACTATGCGCTCGTTCTTAATATTCTGAGGAAGAAAAATGATCTGAAACATCTAGTCAGCAGTGATATTGTTTTAGACTTGACGATTAAGCACAATGAGATTCTCGTACCTCTAATATGAGATGTGTGAATTCTTCGTTCGAAAGGAATGATGGTTTCCAATCTTCTTGAATTTCGTGCACCCTCGATCTGACAGCTATCGCTGCAACATTTGTAAGTCAAGCTAATATTTTATTATTCTTTCAGTATTCATAATATATAGAATGTCTCAAATTCTAATATTGAATTTTGAAAATTTTGAAAATTCTGAAAGCCCAAGTCTCTTCCTGAGATATCTATTGAACTAATCAATTTTCGACCCACGTATCTTTACAATTAGTAATTTTTTGTAGCGAATGAAAAGATGCTTCGATTCATATATACAAAATTACATAATTCCATTAAAAAAATTTTATTGATCTTAGTCTCTAATTATAATTTTTATGATATAAGTGATAGATCATTAAATGACTCACCATTGTGATTCTTCAGGAACGAAATCGTCGACTTTAATACGGTAGATTTGTCCATTTTCCGTGTATTCGGATTAACCATGCTTCCAAGCTCATTAACAAGCATGTTGAATTGATCACGTCGTTTTTTCTCACTTAAATTACGTGATTTCCTAACAGGAAAGAATCGAATGGTATAAGCACAATGCTATGCAAAGTTTTTATGATAATCGAATGCTCACCGTTTTGTGTCATCCTTATCGTCAACATCATCGTCCATCGTATCACTAATTGGAATATTCATAAATTAATTAATTATAAGAAAGAGTAATGTTGGTATCTATATAATTTGAATTATTAAATACTGCTATTTGATATTAATATTGAATATTAAAATTTGATTCTATCATTCATGGAATTATCATTTGAGAAACAGATGCTCTTACAGAGAATAAAGGAAAATTAACGATTTTCTTGCTCAACGCAGAAAACCACGTGTGGTGTAAGGGGATCATACCAAAGAACCATCTCTTGTGTAACAGGTTTAGCAATCAATATTGGTTGGATAATAGTGTTTAAGGGCAATATATCTCTATGTAATCGACATTGTTAAATCATTTCATTAAACAAAAATTATAAAAATTAATTAGTCATGTGTGATCAGACGCAAACAATACGTCAGATTAATCTTAGAATTTCCGTTCTTAATTTGCCACCTTACGATTTCAAGGAGCGAATGTCTCGGGAGAGACAAGGAGGAGAC